CCCCCCCCTTCCGCACGCGCCTCTTCGCCACGTCCGCTGAACAGATACAGGGTCGAGTTCCCACTACCGGCGAAGACAGAGGCCGAGAAAAGACGGCGCCGCCAAGCACTCGGGAGCATGTGAAAATGCTTTATAGCAGCTAGTGGTGGTGGTAGATACCACATGCGTATTTTGTTCTTCGAATTCGCCATGTACATGTGAAAATAGCCTTGTTTATTGTGGGGGGTGGGGGGTAGGGCCTCGGCGGACGGGCGGCGGTCGCATGTTCTTCACGATGGAACAGAATTCTCGTGGAGGAGAGTTGATGCGGACTACACATGGCTGTGGGTGTGTAGCATGTGTGTCGCGCGCGTAGGTAGTGTGTTTGAGACAGCCGCATGTTGTTTGTTGCTGCTGTTGTGCTAGTGAAAAAACTGCCTAAAGGATCCTGCGGGACTCGTGGCGTAGGAGGAGCTGCGTCGTGTTGGACGTCATGGACATGTATATATTGATGGAGCTGTGTCATGCCATTGACGTGACGTGTTGATCGTCGAGCGCCTTTCGTGAGGACTCGGATGTTTCAACAAGAGTTGTCTGTCGGTTCATATTACGATTACAATATTGATAATGAGAGTAACGTCTGCAATGCATGTGAGCACCCAGCAGCACACCGGGGTCTGTCCACCTATCTACCAACCGGCAGTGAAATGCCTAGGTGCGAGGGCGGCACGGCCGTCTCGAAGTTCTTGTCAACCCTGGTTCTCACGCCTGGGACAGGAACAAATGACAAACACGCTGCATGCATCTGCTCGCCCGAGCTGTAACTGGGATGACTGCACAAGCGCATGGGCTTGATGTCGAAGCAAGCGTGCACAGCAATGCTGTGACAATGTACAGCACAGCAGTACATGCCGCGCACCGCCGCAGGGCTGTTGGTCGGATTGTCGCCGGCGAACACGCGTGAGGCATGTGGTTGCCAGGACTCTTATCGTAAGCGATGACTCACATTGTGTACCAGCGTTGTGTCCTTTCAGTGATGGGTCGAACCAGTACGCCAGAGGCCTTCCTGCCGTACGGGTGCCTTCCACCGTGTCGTTTTGTTGTTCAATGCCGACCGAAGCAAGAGGGCATTCGAACGGAAACAAGACCAAACTTCGGTGCTGCTGTGCGGCAGGTCCCCGAAAGAAAACCCCGGCCAATTACAGCGGGTGTCGTGAAGGACAGCAAAAAAGTTGGTTCATCGCAGATCCCCCGTGCGGTTCCGTGGTACCGATCAGAGAGCCATCGGTTGGACCGAAGGGGACTAACTGGTGCTCCTTGTCTGAAAAGCATGTTTTCCCTCTGCCCAGATTTACAATATGCATCTACCATGGGTACACAGCCTCCTACAGCAGTTAGTCCTCTGTACGTACACCAACGACAGCGACAACGACAACGACACCACCACCAATAACCCCGACATCAGCACAGTGCCCATCCCCACCCACGACGTGACTGCGCACCATACAACGTGTCGCCCCTCTTGTGTACGAGAACAAAATTCATCAGATCAGCGAGAAGAGGAAAATGCGTGGTCGGGGGGTGGTGATTCAAGACGACAGTGGCGGCGGGGTCGGACGGACGGCGGAATTGACCAGGCCAGTAACGCTCGAAGGATCTCTCTCTCTCTCTCTCTCTCTCTCTCTCTCTCTCTCTCTCTCGTGCTTTCCTAGAGGCGGCCGTGCGAGATTTTGACGATATGGGGGTAGGCCACGGACGTGAGGAAGTCGTCCAGCTCGGGCGCGGTCATCATGTTCGCTGTCAGCCGGCCAGCCAGGCGAAACTTGCCGCCGCCGCCCCCGGAGGCGTTTAGAAGTTTGTGGGTGGCCCTCTCCGCGATATCTTGCACGAGGCGAGGGGTAATCTCGATGCCGTCGGACGTGGAGGCGCCGTGGTGGACCCATTGCCAGACCTTTGGTTCGGAATGACGATACAAACGCATGCGGAGGCAAAACAAAACAACGAGTGAGTGCGCGCACGCCGGCAATCAGCATCAGCGAGCGATAAGGCCACTGTTCAAATTGTTTTTCTTTTGTTGCATATAAAAATCGGGGTTTGTATGCACCAAAGCAATCAGCTGCTATCAATATTATTGGGTGCGTGAGGCTAGGTCGCTAGCGTGTCGACCAATGGGAGGAGTGGGTCAGAAGGGGGACACGGGGGGGGGGGGGGNGGGGGGGGGGGTACGCCCGCGTCCTATGTGGATACCTGCGCCCTAGAGATCTCGGCAGTTGCTGCATCTTCCATCTTGAAGTTGACCGGGATGCAGCCGTTGCCGCGCAGCCAGCTCTCGACGTAGAAGATGCACACTTCCACGTTCTCCTCCAACCCGTGTTGCCTGTGATCCCATAGCAGTCGAACGGGACGTGAACGACGACGATCGATCGCAGACAAGACACTACACATCTTGAGCCAACCAAAAGACGACGTTGCCGTGTATTTTCATGTGGCTTCGGCATTCCTACGTGAATGCCACGACTTCGGCACCAAGATGGTCATGACGACGGCAACGTTTCGCACATTCGTTCCGAAATGCCAATGCCCCGCAGAAAAATCGAACACACGAAGAGTACCGGAAAAACCCGCCGAGGCGCTTGATACACGTACAATCGAACGATGCGTGCCCCGCGGCCCCGCCCCATCATGCCCTACACCTCTTCCCAGCGCCCCATCCCGGCACCAGTACACACGCGCTCGACAAGCAGAGACATCTTTGAAAAAAAAAAAAGGGCCTCTGCCTCGTCTCATCCTAGTGTTGCTGCGGTCGCTTTGCTGCTGCTGCTGCTGCTGCTGCTGCTGCTGCTGCTGCTGCTGCTGCTGCTGCTGCTGCTGCATACGGCTACGCGTGCAATACCACGGCACGCTTCTGCCCCGATTTCCATCGAAATGCTGTATTGTCGTGGTTGCCTTGCTCGCTCCACTCACGTGATCTCTCCCCCGCCCGGGGTCCGCAGCAGGTCCTGCGCTGACACGGAGCACTCCGGGACGAACGACAGCTGGTTGGGCTGAGGCATGTGTTCGTTGAAGATCTCCATCGCCACCGTCACCAGGGCCGGGTGGGCCACCCACGTCCCGTCGTGCCCCGCCTTAACCTCGCGCAGCTGGAGAGGTGTTCAGAGGGGGAAGGGGCGCGGGGGTGTCCGTGTTTTTGTCGTAACATGCAATGCCCATGACTTTTCTGCCGCAGCATACATGAGAACACAGCAAGGCTTCGTGACGTTTCTTCCCTTTCCTTCCTGTTTCGAAAGCCCTCTCTTGGTTCTGGCGCCGCCCTCACCTTGCCTTTCTTCTCGAATCCCCCGGACACGATTTTTTAAGCATGTTTGGCGTTTTTCTGAGACCCACCAGTCAAAGGAATACAGTATCGCAACTTTGTTAACCGCTCGGACAGGTGGCTACCGCATCAACCCGCTCAAGTCAGCCCGCGGCTTCCGGCATTTATTTTGGTGATCTACGCCCAAAGCAGGCTCCTTTCGACAACTTCGGCTATCTCGGGGCTACGTCCTCAAAACTTCACGCCGACCCCTGGGCCCCAAGCAACTAAGACGCGGATCGCATGCGGTTCGCTTTTCGGTGACCCCCCCCCGTCTTTCCAGAGGTTAGTAGCCCGTCGGCACCAGCCAGCCGGTCATTCATTCACCTTGTCCTTCTTGACGCTCTCGAGGGCCTGCGCCGCCAGCTTGGGGTTGTTCTTCACCGGGATCTGCGCCGCCATGCCTCCCATCGCGAACGCCCCGCGGCTGTGGCACGTGCGAATCAGAAGCTGCACGTAGGCCTCCATGAACGGGGCTTCCATGGTGAGGAACTTGCGCTCGGGGGTTACCTTGTCCGCGTGAGCCCGCATCTTCTTGATGTAGGAGAAGATATAGTCCCTTTTGTGGAGGGCGGACGGCGGCGGGGGTGGCACGCGCGGCGGGGGTAAGGAGAGGAGGAACGTCTCACAAGAGCCTTGTCATTTTTCCGTTCACACACTAGTACTCATTTGAGCTCGAGGAAACACAGACAGACGACGTTCAAACTTTGTCTGTGTCGTGTATTCTCGAGCCTACCAGCGGCCGCAGTTGAGGCCGCTCGAGTGGTCCCTGAGCTCGTACAGCATTTCCTCCATCTCGAAGGCTGCGGTGATCGTCTCGAGGAGCGCGGTCGCCCTGCAGGAGGCGGCATCGGCACAAAGGAGTCGAGTTTTATGAACTAGCTATAGATCGGAGGGAAGGGAAGACTAAGGCGTGGGAGGTGGCAAGAGGGATTTCGGGTGCTGCATGAGGCGGCATAATAGAAAAAAATCGAGTTTTACGAAGGGTCTAGAAAGGCAGGGAAGGGAAGGCTAAGGCGACGGAGGCGGCCAGAGGGAGTCAGGGTGCACTCGAGCCCGCTCTCACTACTGCGGCGTCGAAACAAGCGGGCACAACGAAATAGAGAATCACGTCTGAGGGCGGGCGAAGCTTCGTCCTGCGACGAAATGAAGTCTAGTGTCATGCAAACACCCTAACGATGGGTTGGTGTACCGGTGTATCGATGTACCTGATGGTTCCCACGGGCACCCCGAGCAGCTTCTGAGCGAGGACGAAGACGTCGTTCCACAGACGGGCCTCGAGGTGGGACTCCAGCTTGGCAACGTAGAAGTACGGACCCGTTCCTCGCTTCATGAGCGCGAACACGTTGTGGAAGAAGTACAGGCCGAAGTCGAGCAGGGCGCCTGAGAGCGGCCTGGAATTGTTTTCGTTGTTTGTCGTTGGTGGCATGCATAACAATGGTGGTGGTGTTGGAGGTGTTACCTTGATTGCTCCCCTTCACACCCAAATGATGAGGAGCCGTTGCACGGTTGTCAGTATTCCTCATCGTCGTCAGGCGCCGCCGTCGCTCGTGCGGCGTACGGTTTCGGTTCGCAAGAGAAACCATCTCTACAACGGGACCGCCTATCCGAGACGGGGAGGGGGAAGGAGGATGGGACATCCCGGAGCATAGGGAAACGCCGGTCGTGTTCGATTTTCTACCTCTTCCTCTCAACAAAAGTAGTACCAACCAAATCAAAGCAAGAACAGAAGCTCACCTGCCGTCTACGGTAACGTGGGCTTCGTCCAGGTGCCAGCCGCGCGGCCGCACCAGGAGCACCGCCAGCTTGGCGCCTTTCGTCAGTCCGTAGTGCTTGCCGGTGTCGGGGCTGACGTACGATATGTCCCGACGAGCCGCGTCGCGCAGGTTCAACTGACCCTCAACCTGCGTTCACCCCCACCACGTCCCAGCCGTCCCAGCGTTGTTGAACGTAGAGTCGAGAATGGGGTCTCGTGGATAGCGGGTTTCTGGGGGAACTTGTTTCTCTGTGACTCGGAGCGTGCGGCAGGGGGACTGCACTTCGGCACCCTTGGGCGAATATCAAATCCAACTTCCTTCCACCGAGGGGCAAGGTTATGAATCACCTTGGCGGTTATTGGCGGGCCCGTGTGCCGTTTTAACCAAGTTCAATCTTACAGTATTGCTATGCCTCGAAAACGACTAGCTGGCTGATCCGCGAAGCACCCCTTCCCCTTCGGAAGAACTGGTGCACGCATGTATGGTGCAACTGTTTTTGGTACGGTAGCCTGCGGATCATGACTTGTTTCGGCAAGCTGCTCTACGGGATGGGCCAAAATGCCCCTCTGACGAACGACAACCCACCATGTTGGCCCATGTGGGCGCACTCGAGTCTTCGAAATCCGCCATGTACGTACTGGCGCCGCTGTTGAGGCCGTTAATCACCTGCCACACGCGCGCCGATGGATACGCGTACGCATTCGCTTGCACACTAAAGGCTGGACCAACTCTGAACACCAATGCTTGGGCTCGTGTGGATTCGCTGAAACAAACGAGAACACAACCTCACACCTGTAGACGACTGTCCTTCGAACGGTAGGATAGTGCCCTTCGAATGGCCTCCTATTGCAGGAAACTCGAGACCAAATCCGCGGAAACCGGAAACAACGTAGCAACTACTCACCACATGAACCGTCATTGCAGCACACAGGAAGAATCATTCACAGAACCTAGCGGAGATACACTTAAGGCGACTCGAGGACCTCACCGATAGAGCAGCACCGCAGAGTACACAAAGAGGTGGGAGTTGAGTCGAATCTCTCTCTCTCTTTTCTCTCTCTCTTTTCTCTCTCACCATCTTGCGGTCCACGGGGCCGGTGATCTCGACGCGCCTGTCCATCAGGTCGGCCGGCGCCTCCGCCACCTGGATTATCGTGCGTTCATGTGTCAAGCGCGGGGCCGAGAGAAATCAAGAAACGTGCAAATCGCAGGAGTGTTTCTCGACACGGGGTCCTGAGAAATAAGTCCATGGCATGAAGTTGAAAGGAGAGTAAAGTGGACGGAGGAATCCCCTGACGAAGCAATACTGTCAGCGCCGTTTCCAGATGTTTGAGCTTAGGCATTCATGCATGGCAACATGTGTGCAACGTGTGTGCCATGGTAGAGCTACTGCTTGGTATTACAGGGTCCGGATGCGGTCCTGATACATGTGCACATTACACCCCATGCTCTCCTACTCCGAGCCAGACCTTTCATCGCGTGGAGCCTCCGTGTTCTGGCAAAAACGCACGATACCACCTCTTACTGTAGAGCCCCGCTTGTTTGTCAGGGGATCATCCAAGGCAGACTCAACAGAGTGCGAAAGGTACTGCTTCGAAGCAGCCTTCGCAACCTCCCTCTCGACATACTGGCCAAATGACCACAACAGCAGCCTGCCGGTGTTTCAATGGAGGGACACTCATGGAAAAGCATGCATTTCGATCGTATGCATGCTTGTTTTCTCACCCGCCAGGAAGGGTCATCTCGGATGTGCTTGGTCTCGGGCAAGAAGTCCGGCAAAACGCCGGCGTCGAACTCCTTCTGCCTGTGAGGGTCCGAGCGAAAGTCACACATCCGAAGGCCCACCAAAAGCGAACTGCCCGATGGTAGGACGTGGTACCGAACCCACGTTTTCCATGCGAAAAATACCTTGGTGCACCCCCCTGTCGTCCCACCCTGGTTGCAGAGCTTTCTACATTGTTGTTCGTGGATGTGCCACATCGGTACGACTAGGAGAAGCCACACAACAACAGCACACACTGACGAGATCGTGTTGCGTTTCGGTAGCGGAGGGTCTTCGCTCAAGACATCGATGGCGTCCCCCATCAGCAAGGAAACAAGCGGAATTACCACTGCATCTTCCATTGAAAACGCCGTAAATCAAAGGTGATTAAGGGTGCTTTAGTAGACACCACCGCCGTTCGTTCCCCTACCTTGTCTCTCGCGCGCGTAGGAGCTGTTGACGGCGTTGCTCAAAGTTTTGGTGCAGGACTCCGAGGAACCTGGCCGAATGGCAACACAGGAAACGGGCAGCGTGGCTTGATTTCTACATACTCTGTCAAAGGAATTCGCACGCAACTATTCTGGGTCCTCCAGCACCGCACGCACCCCTTCTTAGCGGCGGGGTAGACATGCTGCTAGGTGAATCCGTTGCTACCAACACAAGTGCTTGCTCCCGGCGTGTGTCTGGAGAACTGCTGTAAGTGAAAGCCCAACGTTGAAGCACGGAGAGCGCTTTGGACTGTATCGCGAGAGCCCCTTCGACAAGTTCACTGTCACGTCGGTACCGCTTGGGTCTTCTCGAGAGCTGCCCAAATAATACTTGTGTTGTACCAAGTTTAAGTTTTGCACTTGTGTATACGAGATAGAGGATGACGCCCCAGGAAGGGTCAATTCCTGTATTGTCAAACCACATGTTACGGACTATCCATCCGAAACCGACACCGAAGAGCTACTAGAAGTACTGAGTATCAGTGGTTAGGTGTTGCACAAACTCGACTAAGAAACGAACGCCATGCATAACCGACCGTAATCTAGACCACACAAAATTCACGAGAAGTAGACTACCTGTGCGGAATATTGCTGCACAGCGCAGCAGTAGACTAGACTTCATTACTGAAGTACCATCACGTGAGCTACGAATTTTCCCTACCACATAAGCAGTGTAAAATTAGGGGTATGTCCATGAGTAGAAGTCTAGCAGAACGATATTTCATCTACCTGCAGAAATAACGGAGTTATACTGGTGCGGAAATTGGGCTTACAGCTTCGAGTTGAAGTACGAGTCTACGCCTCAGAAATTGGGACATTTGTTCTCAAAACAATCTGAACGAAAAATTGGGGACATTACGTCTTGCCTGAGGGCCTCTGGCGTCAGGATGTCACCAGTTCCTTCGGGAATGGATCCGTGGACTCGTACGTCCATGGGAGGGGCCATATATTGCTGCGAGGTTGTCATCGTGTCTCCTGTTACACTTCGAGAAGACCGTCAATCGCCAATCCACCGTTTCAAAGCTACACCCGATCTAATGTCAACCGCCGCCAGAAAGAGCGAGTCCTCAAACTCGAGCTATTTCAGAGAGTTATATATCTAATTTTATCTCTCAAGCATGCAATGCTTGGAGGATTTCTTCCGTGCGTTGTCCTTAGAAGTTGGGGTGCAGGCCGGTTGATTCTTGTGCAAGCTTGAACGTTGATCGGGTTGATGTTTGAGCACGCGGTGTAATCCATGCCGCTTCGGGACTGCTGGAATCGCGCGCGTGGTTCATTCTTCATTCAGATCAACAGCAGGTTGGTTCAGGTGTGCTGCATGTTGGCGGCTCCCAAAAGCAGCACTCAAGGTTGCGGCAAGTTGCGGCCATGCAAACGCAAGACTCAAGGTTTTTCCCTTCCAGCACCAGAGACTAAGAGTATCTCCGTGTTGTCTGCATCGGTATCTATGTACGCAAACTCCATAAAAAGGTTGTACACGTTTTGACTGCGGTTGACAGCCAGGCTCGATCTAGACGATGTAATCGTTTCTCCATCCCGATCTGTGTGTGGTGTTATACTTCGAAGTATAACATTTCACATATCTTTCTGCGTAGAAAGGTTGGCTTTATGGCGACGTAATGTGTCCGGGACCCACTCGTGGGATCTGTCGTGTGCGTCGTGTGCGTCGTGTGAGGTTGTAGTCCAAACGTATATCTTCCTTTCGCAGTCAAGGATGGATCTGGAACATCCTTCGCCCGATATGTTTTTGGGAGGTGGATGACCCGCGCGGTGGGCTGGTTGTCGGTCATACTTGTGGTATGGCACCGGTAAACCTCACGAACGTGACTGCTGTCTATGGCGTTTCACGTCTCCCATGGAGAATTGGAGTGTTTATTGATTCGTTGTGGTATTCCGGGACGATCCCGGCACGGCATTTGTTGCCCTCCGTGGTGTTTGTTGTAGTTGAAAAACACTTTAATTAATTACTGCCCTGCTGCTGGCAATGAAAATTGTGATAGCAACTCGACGAGTATCGTCGCGTTGCCTGTCTGAAGCTTTCCAGAGTTTTGCGGTAAATGAGGTCGAGGGCGCACGCCGCGACACGCTCGCCCACAGAGCACGACAAAGAGTTCAGAGTAGATTACATGAGATATCACACCCCCTGAACAATATTTAATTTTCAAACCTCGATTACTCCACAGCAGGAAGCGTGGCTGGGCGGCGTTGGCACCGATAGCATTCTGAAACAAACCTACCTATCGTTTGACATCCTCGTCGTCGTGGAGTAAAACTATTACCTGTACAGTGTGGATTTTGATGATGAGATATATTATGTCACCTACTGACGGTACATGCCATGCATAAGAACAGGGAGCACCCTACATACTCCAGTCATATTTCCTCTGTATCATAAGTTAGGGTACCTAAATGCAATAGATTGTCTGGGTGCAACCGTGTTAGTGATGGTAGCATAGTCGGGTTTGTACGAAAGATATAACAAAGACGAAGCGATAGAAAAAAAGAAAAAAAACCCATCTATTTCTGTACCTAATATTGGTCAAAATATACCCTATTTTGGCCTGTTTTGGGAATATTTTTGGGAAAATATTTTGAGATTTTTTTTGAGAATTCTCGACAAAATTCTCAAAACCATCTAATATTAGTACCCTACCGGCCCACTACTCACTCTAGCGATGGAATCGCCCCCCAGCACACCACCTCGCAAAAGGGGCACCGAATTATCGGTTGGTAGGCGCTATGCCATGGCGGTAGGAATTGTCGACTTTTTCTATTTTTTCCCCGCCACCAACCAACCCTTCTTTTTGTCCCGCAAGTGTCTTGATTTTAGTGTGCCCCCCCAAGTGTCTTGGTTTTAGTGTGGTTCACTACTATACTGCTTTTAGTATAGGGGGCGCGACATGGATCGTTGAGTAGAGGGGGGGGTTGGATGAGGGCCCTACTGTTGCTTGCTTTGCCCCGCAAGTGTCTTGTTTTTAGTGTGGTCACCCCAAGTGTCTTGTTTTCAGTGTGGGGCCATTATTATGCTGTTTTTAGTACGGGGGACGCATCATGGATCGTTGAGTAGAGGGGGGGCTAGGTCTAGGGTCAGGGATAATTCTTGGTATTTTTACCTTGTTTTTGTCATTGCCCCGCCCCCCNAATGTTTCTTGCTAAAAAAACTCCGAAGATTTCAACAAAAAATCGGAAAACAGATCGGACACGGTTAAGGGCCCGTACAAATTTAGGTACCCTAACTAATGATACAGAGGAAGTATTGTAGTAGTTGAATTGAAACCTCTCTTTACCCATCCATCCATGAAGAAGTCGTTATATAAACTAATACTTATATCCATGGACGAACCCAGCAGTAGTAGCGCATGTCCTGTAGTAGACAACTACTGAAAATATAGGATACCACGAATCAAACCGACAGATGGTCGTGGGTAGGCGGGGGACCCGAAGAAACAGTCAGACTCAGCCAGTTTACATCCTCACAGTTTCTTGAAAGCAAGAACGAAGGGCGATGAAAAAAGAGAGACCGCCAGCGACAAAAAACAAAGAAGTAGAGGAGAGCAGATCTAAGAAACAGGTGAAGAAACAAGGCCCCCTTGCCGCTCTGACCCACCGTAAGCTTTCCATGTACCGCAACAAACAGCAGGGGCAGCACCCGCTACCTCACATGGAGTAGCCGGGTACACGGACTGGTACGTAGAAGAGGTTTAGTCGCTTTCTCCGGCAAGAACAGTAACGCCCGGGCGAAGTTGAACTTGAAGTCACAAGACACAGCGTCATGATGATGTACTTCATTCTGCTTGCCGTAGGAGATGAGCATCGTTACGCGAGGAAGGCGTCAACTCCTCGCGTAGAACATGCTGCCGTAGACCCTATCCCTCAAGCTCAACCACAGCTATATCCGATACATGGTAGCATCATATCCAGCTGTAAAGAATCGAAAAAATGCTGTTTTCTTGGTAGCGAAGCGAACCGTGTCTGTCTGTTTATGTACCATCGGAACAAAGGGAAACTGAGGTAGTTTTTTTATTTGTTCAACGCCATTACTGTTGCGTGTTGGCACCAACTAGGTGGTTCCCTCCTGGTCTAGAGTAACAGTCTGGATATCAACATCAAACAAGAGGTGAACAACCAAACACGTTCATAGCAGATGCTGCATGCCTGGTTCTGCTGCACACAACTGAATTGTTGTTTCAAGAAGGCCTTACATATCCGATACGAGCGCCATTACGACGTATAAATAATAGAAGAAACCAACACCAACATCTATTTGAAAACCCGTTTACGACACACGCCCCGAAGCGATCAAAATCTCTTCGCGCTATCTGCCATTCCCCACGCCTGCCACCGCCGGCGGACCATTCTTACCACCCTCTACGTTGGACTTTTTGCTGCTGACGCCGCTGCCGTCACTACCCTTGGTGTCAATACCGCTGCAACTTCTACCCCCCCCTCCCGCTGCGGCGCGCTCCCCTGCTTCCTTGGCTTTGACCTCGGCAACTGCCGTTTTGAGCGGCTCGTTGAAGATATAGTAGCCTAGAAAGGGATTCAAACGCATCAAACACGCGCGGGGGGTCAGATGTGGTGAACGGCTACTCGGAGTCGTGACATAACTGGACCTACCCTTGCGTGCAATCGCCGTGAAATCCAAGCTTTGGTGAAAATGTAAGCGTTTCAGCCTGGCCCGTTTGGTACGATAATTCGCGGGGGGGTCCGTCACCGTTCCACGTGGCGCAGCTGGTACGAACGCCATGCTGGCCCGTGTGCTCCTGGGCCTTTGGGGAAGAGCCACGACGAGGCGAGGAATGCGCGAGACAGCCTGTTCTACTGTAGGCTGGGTTGTGCGGGGAAACCTTACGGTTACGCTTGCAACGGCCGTGCTTCGATGTTTTCGTGTTGCTGCCGACTCAAAGCGTGGATAGACTTTGCGTCTGCCAGAGCTAACGGGTTGCTCCTTTGCGCGCGGCAGAACAGGGCTACCACTCGTGAAGCATTGCAACCGACTGCTTTGCAACGCTGAGTTTTTCGCCAGCATAAGGGTTTTACCGATGCACCTAGAGCGTCGGACCCGCAGCTTCCATTTTTTTGACATCGTACCCCTGCAAGCCAGGGGGTATATGGTTGACAATCGGTAAATGTGCCAGTACCAGGTGCCCCCTCGGGACGTTGGTATCGGAGCTCCCGAGCGTGATGGCAGGAGGAATGCCGAAGGAGAGTGAGAAATGGCTGCATTCAATCGGAACCTCTTGCAGTTGTTGGCAGCGGGAGACAGTTTTGAAACGGGTGGGTGGGTTTTTCTTGGGCAAAGCACTCAAGCCGGGTAACTTCAAATGGTTTTCGATATACGCTTCGCCAGTCTTCCTCGTCGGAGGAACAAGCTTGTGAGAAATAGAGCTAGCCCACGCAACCATAGGCGTTGAACGCACGTGCCACGGGAGCCTGGGGAGCAATGTACCGACGACTCTCCTCGGTACCTTAAGGAGGAAACACAAGAACACGCACTGCCACCAGAGAAAACTAGTAAGCCCAAGCAACAAGGACATCGAAGCCATGAATTTCGACTGCATGCATATGTGCTGCCCCATCACAAAGGAATACCACCACATTTTGACCAAAGCCTGAAAGCCTTGTTTGTACAGTAGTGTGTCTCAAATGAGTGACACAGGCTACGCTGTAGAAATCTACCATACCATACAGGATGTAGCGCTATGCCGGAGGTGAGCTAAACTTCTTACGAAGCCGTTGTTAAAAATGTGTTCAACATCTGATTCCGTGCCTTGTGCGTGTGGCTCTCATGGGTGCGCACAACTCTGCGTACGGAGCATGGGCTGAGTGCTATTGAATATTTAGGCAATGATGCACCTTCGTGAACAAACGCCTGTAAAAAATAGATACTACAATTGTATACGTTCCCCGAGGGCGAGTCGAAAGTCCTCCCTGTTCCCTCCCACTGCGGCTCTCATACACGGTTTCGCAAGGATAGATGAGCAGTCGCGTGAGGTGTGGCGTATCTCTCACCTATGTCTTCATCCTGCGTGAAGTTTAGACTACATGTGTTGTTGTTTCCACATTAGCTCTATAGACTAGTCCACAAAAATGGTGAGCCCGTGGTCGCAAAAACCCGGCACATATGTATACATACATACGACGCCGCGGGGAAATTAAACAAACTGTAGAAACCACTCGGAAAAAGAAAACAAAATGACAAACCACTCGGAAAAAGAAAACAAAATGACAAAAAGAAAATAACAGCTACCGCAACGAACGGTCGAGAAAAGGGCCCTCGAAAACCGACCAAAACAAAACAAAACAAAACAAAAATAAAGAGGCCGCTTACCACACCCGCCTAAAAAATGGAAGGGTAACGTACCAGCACCAGGCACTAACTATGCACCAGGGCATGGGAGTAATGGAGGCAACAGAACAAAGAGGCGGCAGATGTATGTGCATGAAGAGCTCGATACAATTCAAGCACTTTGTAGCCGGGAGGGTTACGTAGTGATTGCGGCAAACAAATATGTGTTTTTCAGTTGTGGAATGCAGGTCTAGACGTCAACATGTAAGACGTCGAGACGTCGAGTTGGTGTACGAACCTCACTCCTGTGATGTAGCGTGTCGTGTCGTGGTATCCAGAAAACGTCTCACCTGTTACGACACCGACCACAGTCAGAGTTGCCACGTGCAGGGCCTGGTGGGTGCTATTTCGTGGACGGAAACCTCGGAAACCTCGACTTCTGCCAAACATTTTTGTGTCTCGGTTGCCACAAGCGTCAACCACGCAACGAAACAAGCAGGCAGTGCAACAGCAGTGTCTGGCATGGGCCACGGCAGACGAGCCGCGGCTCCGCACTTCTTCGGGGGCACCGCAGATGCACGAATCTCCCACGTTACTCCCCCTACAGTAAGCATGGTGGAACCGGCTTGGCAGCGCCTCCAGGCCCTGCGCAGCAGCTGTGCACACGGCAGTTGCTACAGGCCGTAGCACCAGATGTCGTCCAGCGATGCAGCGGTCGAAGAAGTGGTGGAGAAGCAGCTGGGCGCCGTGAAGGAGCTCGACGAAGACATCTTCGTCTACATCCTTGGCATCGTCAAGGATGTAGACGCGCACGGCTGTGATCCGGAGACGCTAGCGGAGACGGTGAGGGCGAGAGCGACAAAGAGAGAGAGACTCTAAGAGACAGAGGGAAAGGCGCGGTGGTGGCTAGGGATCGATTTGGGTCCAGTTTGATGCAGGTATCGATACGTTGCATCGTGTGTGTGGTGTGATGCTGCTGTCGTCTGGAACTGATGGGTTCCCTCGACAAGAACTTTCTGTGCGGCTCTGCTGTGCCTGTTAGTCTACACGCGAGTTGTACAAGCGAACACACAAAGAGGGCAGCAGCTACCACGTGTGCACGGCAGTCTACGCTGGTGCGTACAGTGTTTCTCGGCATCTTACTAAAGGAGCTGCCTTTGCGTTTCCAGTAGAAAACGTTATGGCGGTGACTGACACCTGAATGAGTTGTACATGGCAGGCATAATAATCACAATTCGATGCAGGTGCACACGTGACGCACAAGTTGACGTTCCGCTGGGCGTGGGTGCCCTCTACCAACAAGAGCGAACATCGAAGCTATGTACATTCTCTGCTCTGTTTCTTCAGCGTGGGAGTCAGTCAGTATCCGTTGCCTGGCAGCTGTGCCAGTTCCGCTACATATCAGAGGCAGCAGAGAAACCACGTTTCGGGTGCCAATGCGGGACGTTTGAGGGGCGCGTCGGGTTTGTCAACTCATGCCGTGAGAGCACGAGAGAGCAGTACAGCAGTTGTACCATTACACCTGTAGTTGTTCGCCGTGGCTCGGCCCCATCGTTCGGCGGTCCACAGCAGAACTGCTAGCGGAGCACCGAGATCCTTCATATCTCACCGAAACATGCAATTCACTACTTCAGCCCTCAACAATTTGGGGGCGGGCGGCAACTTGTACGCGCGCAGCGACGGCACCTGACGCTCTTTGTTCCTTGCGTTGGATAATGTCCACGATCCTACGATGCATACGCATACACGAAAGAACAGCCTATTTATCGGGCCAGTAGCATACCCGCGAGGAACACCACCACGGTCCACCCCTCTGCGCTCGGCACAGATGCCGCGACACATGGTTTGGCTGCAGTGTTGTTGCCGCAGTGTCCCCAGGCGCAATTGTCGCCAAGGCGTCCCGAACTGTCGTCGTTGGTTGCTACAGTATTTTACTGCTGGCACTTTTCAAGCACCCATCCTACAACCACACACCGCCTTGGTCGGCACTCGCACAGATGTGCCTCCGTTGCATGGCCGGTGTCCTTCCCCGTTGGAATCAACCCCTCTGCTACCCTTGCCACTGGGTTCTCTTCTGTCTCCCCGCGCCACCCGCCGCCGCCACCAACAGGTTGGCCAGTTTCTCCTGAGCTCCGGATTCTGCGACACCGATGAGGAGTCAGAGGAGAAGTGCCAAGCGTTGGCCAAGAGCCTCCAACAGGTGACCAACCTGGATGTCGAAGTTTTTGTTTTGTTTTTTGCTTTTCTACTCGTTCGCCGTTCACAATCGGACGTGCGGATGCGATATTACAGGCCGCGCCTGAAGGAACAGATAATGCCTTTGAGAGGCAAGGCATCGGCCGCATTCTGTGGAAGCGAGGGGCCTATTGACGACAAATTGTCGTTGGGTCTTTCGTGCAGCTGTGGTGTGCACGTGTGATCGGAAGCCCTCGCGCCGGGGGATTGGTCCCAGCGACGCTCCTTGATGGCAGTACACCACTCTATGCGGTGCGGATCACTTGTTGCTCTTGCTTGCTGGTACCAGCACCCCTAGCTGGCCGGGTGTGCCTCACAGCTACATAAGAGCACTCATTGGCTTTCTGCCTCCCGATCATCGTGACCGCCGAAATCGGCAAAGCTCTCCCCTCACTCATCGCACCCTTGACTTGGGCCGATTTCCGGGGGGGGGGGGGGGGGGGGTGNCGCACCCTTGACTTGGGCCGATTTCCGGGGGGGGGGGAGGAGGGGATGAGGGAGGTACCCAGATTCGGTCAGTAGTCACCCGCGAGAGTGAGACGGCAGTTTATTAATATTTCGGCCCCCTGCTATTGTAAGCCATGGTTATCATGCACTGCATGCGTGGGGTCACAAAACCTCGCCCCGAAATTGCGGGGCAAAAGAAGCGCAGATTTGACCATATACACTGGAGTGGACGTGCTAAGTTTTCGCCGTGGTACCTTCACACTTAACTTCCAATATTGAATCGCCACAACTCAGGACTTTTGTCGACGTCTGAGAGGAGTTGTGAACTACGTACGGTGTCTACCATTGACTTTTTTTTCTAGGCTTGCGCTGTGATTTCTTCGAATCACGAGTTTTCTTGCTAGCGTCGTGCTCTTCCCTCGAGAGCATGAGAGACCCTCGCTGATGATTCCATCCTTCCCCCAGCTACATATATAGCTCGTTGCTGCTGCTGCTGCTGCTGCTACGCGCCCTCCCTCAAAACCACGCGGCGTTTCTGTGGAAATCACGCAGGCGCTGGGCATGGAAGGCGCTAGCACGACACACAAGGAGGAGGATAACGGGCACGCCCCTCGCCTGCTGGACGCCCCGGTCAAGATTCAGGACCAGGAGGGCAACGACCAAGAAGGGCTAGACTTCATGTGGGGCACCGACAAGGTGTGAATGCCTACAGGGGAGGGGGGGGGGGAACGCAGACCGCACAAATCACACGGGTACAGTAGAGCGTGGCAGGCGGTGGCACTACCCTTTTCCCGCTGCATGGCGGCAGCAGCAGCACGTGCAGGCCTTCTCGGAGGAGAAGCTGGGGGAAGGATAAGGATGCCTATACAAGGCTGCATTTGTAGCTGAACCCCCAAGCAGGCCATCTAAAAACGGGCCCGAAGCTTACCGAAGCTTACCGAGTGAGCCAACATACAGAGAGGAACCATACCAACGTCAACCCGAAACGAAACAAGCGAACCCTTGCCGACATCTGTTTCCCCGTGTTTTTCATGCGTATCCTTGGCCGTGTGTGTGGGTGTGGGCAGGTTCGGGATAAGTTTAACCAGCAGATGGACTGGGACAAGCACTTGAGCAAGAAGGATCTGAGGAGAGCGGAACGGGAACAGCTCGCGTTCTTGAAGGTACGCTTGGCGGGAGAAGTGCTAGAGAGGGAAGTAGGACGAGCTTTAAAGGGGGGAGGTGAGGGACAGGGAGGGCAGCTCTCGCGGTCAAGAATCTGACGAAAGTCACTCTACTAGTGATGTTCACGCGTTGCCGCCCTCCAGAGGTAGACGAAGTCTGTTCTTCTGAGGTGTATTGGCTCAACGCTCATGAAAGGCAGGGAAGTCAGCTGGTGCCCCGGCATGCAGTCACGTTCGAGTGTTAGTTCCAATCGCTACGTCGCCTTCCCTGGCTTTTGCGGGCATTTGGGCGGCAACCACACAAGCATCCGCGGGAGAGATGTGAAGAAACTGCTGCACACCAGGGAATGCAAATATTATCTCGGGCAGGTATGTACTGTTTGGCACGCCCAACCCCCGCCCCTACGTCAACGCCTGTGGGTGTTCTTGGTATCCTTGCGGATGGTACCCGTAATCTGTAACGAGTGCAGGAAATTGAGCTGCTGACGGGCACAGAGGCAGACGACGGCGAGGAGGACATCAGCATGATGGTGCTCCCGGACTACAGCAGCGGCAACAACGAAAAGGACATACACGTGAAGAATTTCAACATCAACGTTGGCGGGCTCGAGCTGCTGGACTGTGCCGACCTCAAGCTGGCGTACGGTAGGAAGGTGCGGTGTGGACGCCAGGGGGCGGGCGAGGGGGGGGTGCGGGCGTGCTGATATGTTTGTTGTGTTGACGTGTTCGTGCTTTTTCACCGAGTTGTGTCCGGCTGAACTCAACCGGTTTACTTGCCTTTTCGCTTGGTGTGTACGCGCGGAGATTGTGTGCCGCATGTCGACTTGCCTCGCTCTCCTTGGTCCCGTCCTTCCAGGGGATATCATCGAGGTCATGTCCAGCTTGTGTCTTCAGAAGCCGTGCTTTTGAAGCATTTTTTGGGACCTTGCCCGCGTTCTTCCAAGTGCGCGACCAGCTCCTCCGGTGTTGGTGGCAGTTGTCCATCAAGAACGTTGCCTGACTGTATCGGTTTATGATTCCCTCGGGGTGCGCCAACTCCTCCCCCAACCACAAAAAAATGCGAGCCGCCATTGTTGTCTGTGTGCCCTTCTCATTTCGCTTGCTTTCCTCCCTCTTCTCTGATTTGAGTGGCTCTAACCGACCACCGCTACTGCTGCGCTGCTCTTTTCGCTTGGCTTTTCTCCATCACTTGTCCGATTGGGGGCGGCTCGAACCGACCGCCGCCGCCTCCCCGTCGCTCTGCAGTACGGTCTGATCGGGCGAAACGGTGTGGGTAAGACGACGCTGCTGCGCCACATGGCGGCCTACGACATCGAGGGGTTCCCGCGCCACCACCGAGTTATGCACGTCCGGCAGGAAATCAAACCCAGCGAAAAGACCGTCATTCAGGCGAGCGGGGGTGACTGGGCGTGGAATGACACCCCAGCACGGAACAGGGGGGGAATAGGGACAAGGCCGGGGGGCTGTTGGACTACAGAAGCGCATGCACGAAGGGTTGGCAATAGTTGATGTCTGAGGGATCGCTTGCGATGGTAATGGTGATGATGGTGGTGGTGGTTTGTTTTTTTTGTCGTTGTTGTTGTCGTCGCGGCGACTGACTGCTGTGTGCCTTCCCCTCGTTTATTCCGGCAAAATGCCTCATTCCTCAACCCTTGGGGCGGTCCTCAGCAGCGGTGGTTGGTCTACGCACACGAGATGACCTCCGTACGTTGCATGCAGTAGTTAGCACTGCTGCTGTTTTTGTGTTCGCACATGGAGCTTGCGCCGGTCTTCCACGAGCCGTGACACGCTACTATTCTTGTCAAATGGTTGTTGTTGTTGCGACTGCTGCAGGTGGTGGTGGATAGCGACGTCGAGCGTCTGATGCTGATGAGGCAAGAGAAGGAGATCTTGGACCGACAGGCGCGAAGAGCGGGGGGGGGAAAGGTACGTGTTGGGAAACAAGCGGAGAGTGGGGCGAATTTATATTGTTCTGCGGCGCTAGGAGGAGTGAAAAGCGAGGGAACGCTTCGAAGCTGCCATCACTACCTGCGCCAAGGAGGCGTGTTAGACAAACTGTTTGTGACTGTTGGTGTGTGATAACACATGCCTCTTGCGGCGTACATGACTATATATAGATCTGTCAATTTCAATTTGTTTCGTTGACGTTGACTGGGCTGTTCGAGTGAAGCATACGGCCGCTGTGTGAGCTGTTGAGCTTGGGAAACGTCACACCGGAGCTGGCAGCCAGCTCGAGGTTTGCCCTGCCTGCGTGCTTGATTTTCCACACCCCTTGGTGACGCTGCCTCCCCCACGGTGTTTGCCCTCGGGATTGGGTTTTCGTCGCTTGGCAACGACGTTGTAAAACAAGCCAAGTCACTTCGTGAACTCGGCAACCAGGTTACCGTTTTTTGTTTTTTATCTGTTTTTTGTTTTTGGCGGTCACCACAATGGTTAGATCATGTTGTGCGGGGTGGAGAACCCTCACTCCGCGCAAGGGGGATGATCGCACCACGTTGTGTTAAAATGGTCAAGCACCCTCGAGGCAGTTACACAGTGCTTAGAACTATCTCTGGAAGCGAAAGCACCAGAAAGTAAATCGAGTCATACGCAGCTGTCATCTGTACGCAAGTAAGTAAGCACGAGATGCCGAACACCCTTAGCAGGATGCAGCGCACCCTTCATGCGACTCGCGCTTGGTGACGTGAGGATCTGGTCCGGTGAGAACCCGGCATGCTCCGTCCCGGCTTTGTAGGGATGCCGAACACCCTTAGCAGGATGCAGCGCACCCTTCATGCGACTCGCGCTTGGTGACGTGAGGATCTGGTCCGGTGAGAACCCGGCATGCTCCGTCCCGGCTTTGTAGGGATGCCGAACACCCTTAGCAGGATGCAGCGCACCCTTCATGCGACTCGCGCTTGGTGACGTGAGGATCTGGTCCGGTGAGAACCCGGCATGCTCCGTCCCGGCTTTGTAGGGATGCGAGGTTCTATGGTCTAACGACTACGGCATGCACGACTATGAGTATACCCCCTTGGTGACGCTGCTGCTGTGCTCCCATGAGCCCACGCCGCAGGGATTCATTGTATTCACATTTTAAATCGTTTCTGAGGCCTCATCCTTTCCACATACAACATGCGAGTGGTGCAACAAAACGTAGCAGTTATGAGGCGCACTGAATAGGTCGGATATTGTCGAGGGCGTAAATGAAATGCTTAACATCGGGTCCTCAGTAGAGATAAAATCACGTCACCATGTTTCCTCGAGGTAAATTTGGTTTTTTGGGTGGGACTCAAATGTGTCACTGCTGTAGTAGCGTGATTGTCCGTAATGAGTTTTATTGGCCTTGTCATGAGCATTGGCTTTGCTTTGGATCACACGGGGGGGGGGGCGTCAGTGACCCCCTTCCACGGCGAGACGTTTTGTCCATTATATTGTAATACCTCAACGTGTGTTGTGCACGACGGTTCCGGCTTGAAACCGCAGGCGGAGGAGGAGGAGGGGGGAGAAGCAACACCGTCCGACGGCGGTGGTGCTGCTGCTGCTGAAGACGACGGCGATGACGCTGCGGGAGTGGCCGCGGACGAGGCGAAGCTGTCGGAGATCTACGGGCGCCTGGGACAGATCGGCGCGGCTTCGGCGGAGGCCCGAGCAGCCACCATCCTGTCCGGGTTGGGGTTCTCGACGGAGGTCCAGGTGAGAAAGAAGACGGGACGAGAAACGGGCATCGACGACCATTGCAGAACGAGAAGAGAGGGGTGAGGCTGCTTGCATGTTGTGGTGCTGGTGAGGAGGGGCAGTCAGGGGTGTGGAGGTATGGTTGTCTGCTTTTTTGCTGCTCGTGTCGTGTGTGTCACGAGTTGTTTTGTGTTTTTCGCTTGACATGCCGCCACCGAACTATGACATGCACCCCCCTGCCCCCCTCCCACCCCTCGCCTCCCCACGCGTGCCATTTCTTGTTCAGAACGGGCCCACTTCGGCGCTCTCCGGAGGATGGAGAATGCGCGTTTCTATTGCGGGCGCCCTGTTCATAGAGCCCGATGTGTTGATGTTGGACGAGCCTACCAATCACTTGGATCTGGAGGCCGTGATTTGGCTCCAAGAATACCTTAAGGTGAGAGGAAGAGAGCACCGCGGCGAGGGAGATGTTGGGAGGGGGGGAGCTTGCACAGCCGGCCGTCTACCTTCCTTCCTACACTACTCCAGGTCGGACGGAACTGCCGAGAAATGTGACATGATGTGGTACGGGCATTGAAGGGTTTCCGTAGCAGTTTTTGTTTGTTGTGTTATCGTGGCAAGTATCTTCAGTATTTTCTGTCGATTTGACACGGCCTCCTTTCCTCCTTGACCGACGAAGCCTCCTCCTGTTCCTCTCACTCCTACACCTCCTTCTCAACCCCCCCCTTGTTGTCGATCACCCTGCTTCCCCGCTGTGTTTTCAACAGACTTACCCGAAGACACTGCTCCTGGTATCGCACGACCGACAGTTCTTGAATGAGGTACGATATCGTCGTCGTTTGAATAGCGACTGGCCCGTATTTGCAGCGGTTTTTGCTTGCTTCGTATCCTGCTGAGTTTTTGAGAGCGATGTGTACCGCTGCTGGTGCTGGCATTCGCGTTCTTTTTCGCATGCTTTGAATGCGTCAGTTTCGCGTTTAGCTGCGGCTGCTTAGCGTGGACACGTGATCGGAACTGGAGTTGCGGTTGCTGCGGTTGCCTTCAGTTTTTGTCGTTGTTTTCAAGGGTGACGAGGGAGGTGGGTCAGGGTTAGGGCTATTCAGTCAATGACGAGGTAGGTAGCACCCACAACCAACAATCTCCGCTGTCTGAACTACCGTAAGAGTCGGAGAGTTGGCACCGGTTGCGATCGTTGTTTTTAATGTTTTTTCCTCGGCTTTTTCGTCGCACCCCGGTGCCATCTCTCCGACCCCGAGGCGGAAATGCAATTATATCATTTCGTTTACAATTTTCAAGGCACACCGGTGCGATTTCTCCGACCGGTGCGATCTCTGATGAAAAAAGTACACACAGGTGCGCTGCACCCCGGTGCGATCCCTCCGACCGGTGCGATCCCGGGTGGAATGCACACAGGTGTTGTATGCACGCACACAGGTGCCATCTCCCCGACCGTTGCCATAGTATTGATTGGTACCAGTGTAGGTACCCACGCACGCACACGGTCTTCTGCACAAACACGCATATCTGAGCCGGAAAGAAGGCGGCGAAATACACATGCAACATACCCCGAAAAAAGCGGCGAAATAGCGCAAGCAAGAAAAATCTAGACGATGCCAGTCCGTGCGAGCGCACACACACAGCCGTTGATTGTGCCATGTCAGAGGGTGCAGGTACTGCTTCCCCACAGCCCAGTGGCAGTACTGCTGGTGCTGGCACAATAGTTTCGGGTTGTGTAATGTGCGGTAGGGTGTGGCTTGTACGTTGTGTGTTTGGTTGAGTGTACGGTCGCCCCGGTGGTCTAGTGGTATCCTCGTAATCCGCTAGACGCAGAGGTCGTGAGTTCGAATCCCCATGGGGTGAAGAATTTACGAAATGTGCGGGTGAAAGCGAAATATAGCTAAAAAGCTCTCGTGAGTGCCAAACTTCGACGTTGGCACCGTTGACGAGGGAAAGAGACTGCTGGACCCTTCTCGCGATAAAAATACAATTCAGCACGCACCGCAGGAGGAAGGTGGGGCATGAAAAGAAATAAAAAGAAGAACAAAGCCCTGGTGTTTACCCACTCCTGTGTGACCCTGGATGGTTGTAGTTGTACGAAAAAATACACCCAAAAGTGTAGTACTCTACATACGCTGAAAAGTGTAGTACACGTCTCACTACGAAAAATGGGGGGACTGTCGCCATAGTAGATAGGACGAAAACACACACACACACGGTTGGCAATTTCCAAACCGTAAAGAGTATGAAAACAACTGACATCCCGGGTGAACCGCGACCATCCAATCGTACGTAAAGGAGTGGCGCTCCGCTGACTNCCAAAAGTGTAGTACTCTACATACGCTGAAAAGTGTAGTACACGTCTCACTACGAAAAATGGGGGGACTGTCGCCATAGTAGATAGGACGAAAACACACACACACACGGTTGGCAATTTCCAAACCGTAAAGAGTATGAAAACAACTGACATCCCGGGTGAACCGCGACCATCCAATCGTACGTAAAGGAGTGGCGCTCCGCTGACTCCGTCCCCACGTGTAAAAAGGTACGCACATGTACCTCGTTCCGGCAGCTGAAACGGAGTTTAATCTTGGATTTGGGGGTCGAAGAGATCGCACTGGGTGCGATCTCACCGACCCCGGTGCGTAAATCGAATTGAATGTTTTTTCCTCAGTTTTTTTATCGCACCCCGGTGCCGTCTCTCCGACCGGTGCCATCTTTCCGGCCGGTGCCAACTCTCCGACTCTCACGGTACTCCCCCCCTGCTTCGATGGCTCAGCTTGCTTGCTCGTATTTTCTTCGTGGTCACCCCTTCCCCCGACACATCGCCGCGCCTCACCCCGCCCCACTCGTCTCTTCGACGCCCTTCCATCCATCTACTACACACACGCGCGCGCAGGTATCGACTGACATCATCCACTTCCTGTCGAAGAAGTTGCACTACTACAAGGGCGACTACGACACGTTCGTGAACGTCAGGACCGAGCTGGCCAAGAACCAGCGGCGGGCGTACGAGGCCTCGGCCGCGAAGAAAGCTCACATGCAGGAGTTCATCGACAAGTTCCGCTCTAACGCCAAGCGGGCCAGCCTCGTGCAGAGCCGCATCAAGGTGCGGTTGTGCGGTATCCGAAACACTGGGATGACTTTATTCTCTGGTACGGTGTGCACACAACAGGATGGCACGAGGTCTTGTACCTTGTTTTGTGTGGGCATCTAGGGTGTGTTTATGGGTAGCCCCTTGAGGTTAGGTGTGCGGCATGGAGTGTCGAGCCCTCAACGGCTAATCGGAAGGGCCAGTCTCTTAGAGAAGCGACCGCACGCTATTTCACGTACACCACGGAGGTTAGGCCTTGGTGGGGACTGCTGTACCTGTTGTGGTATTGGCTAGGGGGGTTGGTGGGGATACGAGCGACACTGACTGGGTCTCAAGAGGTCAAGGCTCCAACAGGCTCAGCCAGCGTACTTATTCCGGAGCCGCGTCAATTGCCCGTGGTGCGGTATTACACGACGGGTCACGTCTGAGTTCTGGCAAGGTTGGGTGAATGAGGCGTGGTCTACGGTTGGGCGGAGGAGGGAACGTGTGTAGCTGAAACAGCACCAACCTGCATGGACACGAGGCGCTGGGTGAGATAAATCACGATCTCTGGGAGCAAGGGCGGTCGAGAAGCCAGGGAGCGTATCAACTGGTGTCCGTGTGTTTGTTTCTTTGGTTGTTCAGTTGCTGGTGTGTGGGCCGCACAGCATAGAAAATAGTTGGAAGGCTACACCCGGATGCACAATAATGTCCTCGTCCCGTTCCGTCCCCTCCTTTTTGTCTGCTCTCCTCCAGGCGTTGGAAAAGATGGAGGACGTTGAGGATGTTGAGGACGAAGCGAAGGTCACGATACACTTGCCAGAGCCCGGACCCATCGGGCGACCGATCGTGCAGGTGAACTGCAGATCTTTGAAAATATTTCGGTACTACGGTATCATGGCATTGTATATTTGCACCGGTCGTTCTTCGGAAGAGCAGCGAGAGTTCCGTTCTATTTCGTGAAACTACATTTTCAGCAGCGCAGTGCTAATAAAATCTTTCTTTGCCTGTTTCCCTGATTTTTCGCGTTCCCTCAGGCTCCCTCCCCCTAACCGCTCTCGCTTGTGCCTTGCTCTTTCGTTCCGCAACAACAAAAACATCGAAACGAAAGATCGAGGGCGTTACGTTCGGGTACGACGCGCGCAATCCCCTCTTCTCCAACGTCCACTTCGGGGTGGACCTCGACTCTCGCGTCGGGATTGTGGGGCCCAACGGAGCGGGTAAGTCAACCCTCCTCAACCTCATCTTGGACAAGTTGAGGCCCCTGTCGGGGGAGGTGCGGCGAAACCCCAACTTGAGGATAGCCCACTTCACCCAGCACGCCGCGGAGCAGTTCGACTACCGGCTCAACAGCGTCGACAACATGATCAAGCTGTTCCCGGGTGTTCAGGAGCAGGTGGGGTGTAGTGGGTGTTGAGGTCCGTCGATGGAGAGGTGGTGGAGGGAGGCGGGGCAAGGGGAGTGCTGCCGCGGTGCTTTTCTCCCTACGTTGTGATGCTCTTTTGTTTTTCGCATGGCTGACGCGTAGTGGTACAGAAGCGTGGCGACACGAACGGGTGGAGGGGACGAAGGGGGGAGGTGGAGGTAGCGCAAGGAAGAGACGAAGCGTTGGTCGCTCCCGTGGTGCAGTTCCGCGTACTCCAAGACGCACGCGAAACGGCACGGTATGTAGTATAGCGTAGTGGTTGGGTATGCTACCGTGTCAACTTGTCTCCGTGGGACCCCAAACCAACCCGGAGATCCTTCAGAAACAGCCCTCATTTCCCCATTTCCGTTCCAGCGGTGACATTATCTTTCTGTCTCTTGCGCTCGGTGTCGCGCGTCGTGCACACTGTTCCAGGAAATGCGAAAGTTCTTGGGGCGCTTCGACATCTCGGGGCCTCTTGCGTTGCGGCCTCTCAAGTTCCTCTCCGGAGGGCAGAAGTCCCGCGTTGCCTTCGCGAAGCTGGCGTGGTCGAAGCCCCACGTGGTGATCATGGACGAACCTACGAACCACCTCGACCTGGAGACGATCGAGGCGCTCATCCTGGCACTACAGGTGTGCGTGCGTGTGACTGTAGTCAATTGCTGTGGTCAGCGGTACGAGTGGTCAACATGTGGCGGTGACGACGATTGTATTGCTTTTTTGAGTTTTGTTATCTCTCCATGTGGGTCACAACTTCAACGAACCCAACCTACCTTCAGTACGTGTTTCACCACAGATGCTACAGCTTTGGAGAATGTTTCCCCTCGGAGCGATGTCGATGTCGCCAACGCTCCGAGCCACGAGGAAGCGTGCAACGTCACGAGGAACCTTAGGTGGTCTTCCACGAGGCTTCCTCGCATCGTTGACCGTGACTTCTGTCCGAGAGGGATGCGAGGGCGTGCCCTCGCACACCTGTCACTCTTTCACCACTGTCCCCATCTCATCTCGAGATTCTGCCTCTTGACACCGAGCATCACAGTCTGTCCGGTGATCGCACACACCGCCCCATATCTGTGGCCATTGCCTGAGTGGATGTCTGAGTAAACAGCGTTGGAGATTCGCACCTCCCTGTGGTGTTGTTGAGTTCAAACCCTTACTGGCGTCAGCCGACAGTTAATGCCTTCGAGGGAAGCTTACTCGAGAACACCTCGTGTCTACTCACGGCGATTCCGCATCGGCAACATGTAGTCCGCGAACTGTTTTTTGGTCCTGAAGGTTGTCGCCAGCGCGACCCCCCTCGAATGCGGAATCGCCGTGAGTAGACACGAGGTGTTCTCGAGTTAGTTACCTGGCAGACAACTGTCGGCTGACGCCAGTAGGGGTTTGAACTCAACAACACCGCGGGGAGGTGCGAATCTCCAACGCTGTTTAGACAGACGTGCCACTCAGGCACTGTTCACAGAGACGTTCCACAGGCAACGGTCACACATATGGGGCGCTGTGTACGACCACCGGACAGAATATGATGCTTGGTGTCAAGAGGCAGAATCTCTGGATGAGATGAGGACAGTGGTGAAAGAGTGACAGGTGTGCGAGGGCACGTCCTCGCATCCGGCTCGGACAGAAGTCACGGTCGACGATGCGACCAAGCCTCGTGGAAGACGTCTTGAGGATCCTCGAAAATTTAAGAGCTTCCTCGCGTGGGTGTTCTTGAGTTCAAACCCTTACCCACATGAGCTGAAAAAATTCCGTAACAGGGTTCGATCAGAATTTCAATGTAGACTTTTGGGGCTGCTGTGATGTTTCCAACATTTTACAGACCCCGCCATGCTTTTCCCCCGATACCCCAGGCGTTCAAGGGAGGGGTGATGATCGTGTCGCACGACCAGCACTTCATCAACAAGGTCTGCTCCGAGCTGTGGGTCGTGGGGAGCGGCGAGGTGGTCAAGTACCCGGGCGAGTTCGACGATTACAAGAACGAGCAGATCGCCAAAAGGAAGGCCGCCGGGGCTAGCTTATAATCTTGGAAGAGTGAAGAAGCCATAGCGGTAGGGAAGCTATTGCCGAGAGCACGGCTGGCCGGTCGCTGTTTGTGTATGTATGCTACTCAGCGCGAGAAGCTGGGGTCGGGGGAACAGCCGGCAGGCTCGGGTATCTTGCAAAGGAGCCGTCCCTTTATTTCGCGAAGATCGAGCGACGGCAAACGTTTTCGGTGACGAAGACTGGTTACTGAACCATACTACAACTTGGACCAGCCGAGACGTCACACAAAATTCCATCTGTGTCAGCGTTTCGGCCCTAAACAAGTGGTGTTTGGGAAATGAACCCCCCCATGACGTTCATCTGCTGCACGCGACGAAGAAACCCGAAGGGTCTCTTTTCAGGAAAATGAAGCATCTGTTCTCCACCAACGGCGTAGCAGATCGCCACCCGCGAGAGACATTAGTCTGAGAGATACTGGTAGCCAGCCGAAGCCGAACGAGGTAGCGGGCATTGGCACAACGTGCGGAGGCGCATCCATCATGGAAGTTATATTAAAAAAAAGAAAATAGTGTTTGATCGTTTCGCGAATCGGCTACCAGCACACAACCGCGCTTTGAGGGGAACAGGAGCAATTTTCCAAGGACCTCATTTTCCAAGGGCGGTACCGCTGTGCGACCACAATACGGTAGCGCATTGCTGTGCGCATGAGAGCACGACACGAAACAACCAAAAGCAATCGACAGTGAATCTAGCAGCAAACAACCTAGGTGTCTCCTCTCATACATGCACACACGTGCTTTACCATTGATTGTCCGCATATGGATCTATCGTGACACGGCTTACTCTGTACTCCAACCAAGTTCCCTCTTTCGTGCAGCCTGCAAACGTTATCAGTCTATCTATGTAGCGAACCGCTACCGCTGCATGCTGCACAAACATCAATCAACTCAGTAATAACAAGGGTCAATCTCATCACCCTGTTTTTTCTGTTTTTATTTTACCCCAAACCGTCGCTTGATCTGTTTCGCCTGGGACGCCGTTTCCTGCCGAAGCGGCTCCACACGCTCCCCCAGTACCTCAATCCCCTCCTTCTGTTGCTTCAGCTCCGCACCGATTTCCTTGGCCTGTACAGTCAGGCCGTCCAACAAGCTATCGAGCGTGTCCAGCTGGGTCTCGAATCCGTCGGGAACGTTCTCGGGAAGCTTCGACGCCTCCTTGGTTCCTATTTCTTCCGCGCGTGCCGCGCCCGCCTTTTTCCGCGGGGAGCCGAATTTCAAGCGTCCTCCTTTCTTAGGGCTAGGGGTGGAAGAAGTGCTGCCATCGTGGGCAGGAGCTCCTCCTGGTGGTGTCGATTGTCTGAAGTCGTCCTTGAACACCGGGGAAATGTCCCCGCCGGTGATATCGCCGCCGCCTGCCTGCTGTGCCGGGGGCTTCTTTCGGCGAAACGGTGCTGTCAGGGCCCCACGCCACGTGAGGCCATACTTGAGGTTGTGGCCTGTTCGCTTTAAGGTGTCGTCTATGGCTCTCGCGTCGGCGTCGATCTCGCCCATCTGCTCCCGCTGTTCCTTGAGGGTTACTTGCGTCCGTGCTCCCACGCTCGCGGTTGCTTGAGCCGCCGCTATTGCTCGGTCCAACGAAGCCGTGGTCCCCGCCTGCAGCTCGGCGATCTCCGCCTTCATCGAGGCAACATCGCGAGGTGATGAATCATCACCGCCTCCGGAAGCGGCATTGGGCCATTTGTCCACCGGCCAGAGCCTGTCCGAGTCCAAAGATGGGGTGTGCCGCCTAGGGCCCGATGTCATCTTGCTGCAGCTCGGTGCTCGGTGCGTTGAGGTGTTGTTGGCGCGAAAAGTGCGCACCGGCTGACCGCTGAGTGCTGCACGGCGCCGTGATCGGTTGGCGTAAGGGTATGTGCCTCCTCTCTGTAGCTCAGTGCAGCAGAGCTTCAATACTCCAGCGTGGTCAGGGATCGGTCACAGCATCTGTGTCTGTGTCTGGGGGCTGGGGGGAATACGTGAGCACGAGCACCTTTCGGGGAAAATGCGGAGCGCGGAGCAAACGAGAACCTTTTTTGGTTCTCGAGTGGAAGAGTGAAATGTGAGGAGTGTGTTTTTAATTTTAGCATCGACCGCGCTAACCGGCTGACCAATGAAAAGGCGCCAGTGCCAGCGGGTAAAAATCAAGGTCCCTGGAAGGGGGCCGAAATTCGGAAAATTGGCAATGTGCTCAATGCGAATGCCAATACGACTCTCTCGACTTGTTCTTTCACGTAATTTAGACACCCACACATCTTCCATCTCAGCTACTTGTACACGAACGCCCTTCGCTCAAACCTAGGAAGCCACGTATCCAAAGAGCGGAGGACACCAAAAGGGTTCATGCAAGCCCAGCCGAAACCAGGATATCGTGGTATGTATGCTGCATCGTCTCCCAATTTGATATTCGTACACTCCTCTCCCTTCTTCCCCTCGCTCCTCGACAAGCTTTTGCTTAGACATGGGTTGTAGTGAAGGGGGGGGTCTTTCTGGCGAGCAGGGCTAGACTCACCCTCAAGGGATGACCGAAACCTTCTTGCTGCTGCGCATATCCGCCGCGAGGCATGCGCGTGGTGGTGTAGTTGGGTCGGCACTGATGGGGTCAGGC